TTGTGAGATCTCACATCGGTTGGAGAGAGGAACGAAACATTCCTTATGAGGGTGTGGAAACCTCTCACTAACAGATGCGTTTTAAAACTTTGAGGGGAAGCCCAGAAGGAAAAATTTAAAGAGGACAATATTTACTAGCGGTGGGCTTTGGCTGTTACAAATGGTATCAGAGCTAGACACCAAACGATGTGTCAGCGAGGACGTTGGTCCCCAAAGAGGGTGGATTGTGAAATCTCACATCAGTTGGAAAGGGGAACAAAACATTCCTTATAAGAGTTTGAAAACCTCTCCCTAACATACGCGTTTAAAAAATTCAAGGGGCCCTAGAAGGAAAAACCCAAAGAGGAAAATTCTACTAGCGGTGGGCTTGGACGGTTACAAATGGTATCAGAGCCAGACACTGGGTGATGTGCTAGCGAGGACATTCGTCCCCCAAGGGGGGTGGATTGTGAGATCCCACATCAGTTGGAGAGGGGAACGAAACATTCCTTATAAGGGTGTGAAAACCTATTCCTAATAGACGCATTTAAAAACCTTGAGGGGAACCACAGAAGGAAAAGCTCAAAGAGGATAATATTGCTAGCGGTGGACTTGGGCTGTTACAAATGGCATCAGAGCCAGACACGGGGCAATGTGCTAGTGAGGACGATGACCCCAAGGGGATGGATTTTGAGATCCCACGTTAGTTGGAGAGGGGAACGAAACATTCCTTATAAGGGTGTGGAAACCTCACCCCAACAAACACGTTTAAAAAATCTTAAGGGGAACCCCAGAAGAAAAAGCCTAAAGAGGTGGGCTTGAGCGGTTACGTATAGTGTTAGTGTGGTAATTTAGAATCCTCCCTTGTGTCTCAAAACTACGACGCCTCATCGACCTATGCTCACATTGCCATTTAGACATCTTTAACTTTTAGGTGAAAGTTATAACACAAGAACTCGTTGAGTTATATTTAGATTGAGATTATAACGATCTGTGATTGACTATGTGCAGGATTTGTTTGGAGGTTATAAAGATGTATGTGGTGGAGAGTAAAGAAGGTGCTATAGCATGTATGGTGTTAGCACTCTTGTTCTTGGGAACATGGCCTGCACTTTTGACTCTCCTTGAACGACGAGGGCGCCTTCCTCAGCACACATATCTTGATTACTCCATAACCAACTTATTAGCTGCTGTAATCATTGCCGTAACTTTTGGTGAGATTGGAAACAGCTCTAATGATCATCCAAATTTTATCCAACAGCTTTCTCAGGTTAATTTCTTTACCCTTAAACCTTTCATCGTATAGTATTTTGACCCTATAATGATGTAGTTTCGAGTATGTATACCGTTAATAAGAGCACGATTTCAAGTCATTTAAGGACCAAAGTGAACGAACTTGAAAGTTTAGGGACCTTAATAGGTTTATAATGTTAAAACTTTGTTATATGCAGGATAATTGGAGTTCTGTCATGTTTGCTATGGCAGGTGGTATTGTTCTAAGCCTTGGAAATCTTTCAACTCAGTATGCTTGGGCTTTTGTTGGTTTGTCAGTGACAGAAGTGATCACTTCAAGTATAACAGTTGTTATAGGTCCATTTCTCTTTATATATCTTTCAAATGAATGAATCAAACCCATCAATGTTGAATATGGTACTAAACAATATGTACACTGCTTCTTGTAATAGGTACAACATTGAACTACTTTCTTGATGACAAAATCAATAAAGCTCAGATACTTTTCCCTGGTGTTGCTTGCTTTTTGATTGCTGTTTGTCTTGGCTCTGCTGTTCACTCATCCAACGCAGCTGATAACAAAGCAAAACTCGAAACTTTGTCGGTTGATACGAACAAAGGATCTAAGTATGTTTTCGTAGTTTTGTTGAGCTTATGATCTTGTTCATTTTATATAGTGTGAGGTCCTACATTGGTTGGAGAGGGGAATGGAACATTCCTTATATGGTTGTGGAAACCTCTACCCTAGCGGACGTATTTTGAAACTGTGAGGCTGATTAAGATATGTAATAAGCCAGAATGGACAATATTTCTGGTGGTGGGTTTGAGCTGTTACGAATGGTATTAGATACCGAGTGGTGTGCTAGCGAGGACGTTGAGCCCTTAAGGGGATGGATTGTGAGATCTCATGTCGGTTGGAGAGAGTAACAAAACATTCATTATAAGGTTGTGGAAACCTCTCCCTAGTGGACGCGTTTTAAAACCGTGAGGCTGATGGTGATATGTAACAGGCCAAAACGAACAATATTTGCTTGCGATGGGCTTGGGCTGTTACAAATGATATCAGAGCTAGACACCGAGTGGTGTGCCAGCGAGGACGCTGGATCCTTAAAGAGGTGGATTGTGAGATCCCATATCAGTTGGAGAGGGGACGAAACCTTTCTTATAAGGTTGTGGAAACTTCTCTCTAGTGGACGCGTTTTAAAACCGTGAGACTGATGTCAATATGTAAAGAGCCGAAGCGGACAATATTTGCTAATGGTGGGCTTGGATCGTTACAAATGGTATCAGAGTTAGACACTGAGTGGTGTGCTAGCGAGGACGCTGGGCTCCTAAGGGGGTGGGTTGTGTGATTCCACGTTGATTGGAGAGGGGAACAAAATATTCCTTATAAGGTTGTGAAAACCTCTCCCTAGCGGACACGTTTTAATACCATGAGACTGACGGTGATACGTAACGAGCCAAAGCGGACAATATTTGTTAGCAGTGAGCTTAGGTCGTTACACATAGTTTGTTCGTTTTTTAATAGAAATATTAATCGATTTATATGTCTGTTTGATAATATCCATTTTTGACAGCACAACTGATGTTCCTCCCAAGTCAAGCCAGGGTAAATCTTTTAATTTAGAGCTTCATGATAGCTTTTTCAGTCATCCTTCTGTAATGAACAATAGAAGTTTGTGGCTTTCTGTGTTATAAATTTGACATCTATATGGTTGAATCAGCAGACTTGGAAAGTGCTGATTATTCTTCATTGAAGCCAAAAGCTGGGACTGCAGATTTTCTTGTTCAACTTGAGAATAGAAGATCCATTAAGGTATGTAATGATTCAAAGGGAAATAAATGTGATTCAAATAACATGTTCTAAATTATACAAATTCAAACTCGCAGGTGTTTGGAAAGAGCACAGTAATTGGATTGTTCATAACTTTCTTTGCTGGTGTTTGCTTTTCTCTCTTCTCACCGGCATTCAATTTGGCAACAAACGATCAATGGCACACTCTAAAGGATGGCGTTCCGCACTTGGTGGTCTACACTGCGTTCTTCTACTTCTCGGTCTCTTGTTTCGTCATAGCCATCGTTCTCAACGTCGTCTTCCTTTACCGCCCTGTACTTAACTCGCCAAAAACAACATTCAAGGCATATGTGAATGACTGGAATGGTAGAGGATGGGCCTTCTTGGCTGGATTCTTGTGTGGCTTTGGCAATGGTCTGCAGTTTATGGGTGGTCAAGCTGCTGGTTATGCAGCAGCAGATGCTGTGCAGGTCACTTCTTTGCTCCAAATGCTTTACTTTCAAGATTTTTGGTTCAGTCCTTTCAAAACATTCATCCATCTTAAACCTGTAATGTAAAGTGATAAAGTGCAGTGAGTGTAGTGTCGTGTTGAACCTGTGAATATATTGTTTTCAACCTGAATTTAGTTCAACTAGCCAAGAAATACAGATCCTTGAAAATGTCATTTATATTGTGTTTGGATTTCTAATGGTTGTTTCAGGCGCTTCCACTCGTAAGCACGTTTTGGGGAATCCTTCTATTTGGAGAATACCGTAGATCGTCGAAGAAAACATATGCTTTGCTAATCAGCATGTTGTTAATGTTCATGGTGGCTGTTGGGGTCCTAATGGCTTCTTCAGGACATAGAACTGAAAGTTGATATTGCAAAAGCGTAGAAGAACTGTACAAAATGAAAGCACATCTTCAAAACTCACAAGGAAATTATCACAGCCTTAGATACCATACTAAAACAAAAGCCTCATGATAGTTGTAGAATAATTCAGTAATAGAAGGCAATCGAGGCAATCACTGTTGTTCAAAATGTGGAAATTGTTCCTCTGTAGAATGTAATAATATTTCAGAAACTGTGTAATAAAGTGTATAGTTTTCACACAAATGGGATTGGTTTTCTCTATCTTGGAATGAAAGAGATCTGACTCGTAATTGTTGTACCGTAATGCCATAACCAAAAATGTTATGATACCCAATTGCGGTAGTGGAAGCGGAAGCAAAAGCGATCGCACTCACACACCCACAAATAGAAATCAAACAAAGAGACACAAAGATTTACGAGTTTCAGAGAGAATAAATTCTCTTACACCTACGAAGGTAGGCAATCACTATAACCAAAGTGCTTACAATTGTACCTCTCAAACTCTCACACAACAAAGTCTCTCAACAAAGTTTTCCCAATTGCCTTTAGGCAAATATAAAATGGCAATGACTCCACACCTCAAAATAATGCTAGACAACTTACCAACTTGCCATAATAATGACTTAAGCCAAGCCAAACGTAAAAGCCCCACACTGAGACACCAGAAAGGCCACAAAAACTCCACGTTTCCCTTCTGCAGTGAGGTTGCTGCAAACAACTCAGACGAAGATCAGTCAATTGATAAACAATCAGAAAGAATTAGGGAGATAAGAGATGAAGTTCACGCACAACACAGAATTAAAGTGATTCTGAAAGAAAGGCCTGCATCCACTGAGAAGGGAGGGGGGAGCTGAAGCTTTTATTCATATAGAAAAAATTAAGGAGATTACTAGAATTCAAAAGGTATACTTACTCTCTAACTCTCGAGAATTATTGTCAATCAATCTTCTCCTCTGTAGCTTTTGGCAGCCGCTTCTGATTTCTTTAATACTAACCCTTTTCAAGTAAGGCAAACCCAACAGTAGCTGTAACTTATGCTTTGTGAGCATATCAGAGGCAGTATAGAAAGTATGAATCTTAATATTCATGTACATAGAAGTATGAAACCATAAGTGAGAGCTATAGAAACACAGAGGAAGATAGACAATATTGAATGCATTTTCCTTCATGAATTTTATATTGGTGCTGACCCCTTTATGTACATTGAGAGAACAAGCAAATAAGGTAAAAGCATTTATTTGGCAAGATTACAACAACATTATTTACAATTTAAGGCATAAAATATGACCACGGATAATATGTAGAACACTTCATAACATGCCTCCTCAAACTGAAGACTGGGTAGAGGTCAGAAGTTTGTCCCGAGAAGACAAGAAGATTTGGATGACAACAGCTTGGCGAGAAAATCAACAAATTGATCTTTGGAAGATATAAAGTGAACAAAAATGTTCTTGTGAACAACCTTGTCACGATCAAAATGGAAGATATAAATGGCAGTAACACTGGTTTTTTTGCAAGTAAAATTGACATTGTCACACCATAGCGGGGGAGGAGGCTGTCAAAGGAACAAGAAAATCACAATGGAACTGCCGCAACCAAAAGAGATCAGCAGTTACAGTACCAACAAGCGATATTTCGGCAGAGTGTGGATGAGCAGGAAATGGTGTGTTGGTTGTTGGCAAACCAGGATATAGACTGGAGCCAAGAAAAGCAATAAAACCATATGTAGAACGACAATTCAGATGTATCACCAACCTGACAGAGTTACAAAAGGGTTGTGAGAGACAAATCTTCTCAACTAAACATAATACCAGGTTGCTTGATCCACAAAGAAAAGAAAAAAAGAAGAATTGTGGGATGATCATGAATTGACCTACTCTATTGATTACAAAGGCAATGTCGAGTCGGGTAAATGTGAGATATTGAAGTAAACCGACAAGCTGGCGATAAAGAATTGCATCATTGAATAAAGGTGCAGAACTGGGTGTTAAATAACATAGCAATTCCAGTTAAGATATCCCATTTCTTTAACTACTGAACCAGCATAGAAGTTGGTCAAAGACTTATGTATAACCATATTCTGCAGAAACCAAAGCAAAATGATGAAGTGGGTGTGCTGAGTTTCACAAGTCCCACAGAAGTTCCTCTGCAAGGTGCCAAACATGTAACCTACTAGATATGATATGCCAAAGGCCCCAACTCTCACTGAAACATCTACGGCTGCAGTTTTGACATAAACTAGCCTATTTCTTGGCTTTTGATTAATGTGAGCTTTCTGGACAGCAAGAAGTGCAGTGCATGAAAGGGAAGCTCCTGCAGCCACAATGATTTTGAGGTTTTTGTTTCTAATCTTGAGGGATGAGAGTGCATAAACCAGTGGTGGCACTAACCCAAAAAACAAGAAAGATAAGTAGGCGATGATAAAACAGAGAAGACGATACATTTTTTCCTTCAATACTTCTTTGTAGTTATTCCCGTCCACTTCAATTCTAGGTATTTTTCTCTTCTTCTGCAATCTTGATACCTGTACATTTACTTCATACGTTTCACTATATCAAAAAATTTGAAAACCCAAAAGACAAAAGGTAAATGCTTACATCATGTCTAATAACAAAGAGTCCAGCTAGCAAATTTGTCAATGCCAAAGCTACTATATTTCCTGCAAGAATCCCAATCCAAGATCAACTAGAGATCGACAAATCATTATTTAAGAAAAAGGGAAATAGAGGAAATGAAAACCATTACCATCAGAAATCTTTGCAGTCATTGCTGCAGTTACAATAGCTAAACTTGTAATTGATTCCATTAAACCACCAAGAACTATATATCTACGAATTTCCCACCTTCTTCTAACTCTAGTGCTTGGTTCATATGGAGGGATCATGATAGCTAAGCATTCTTGATGGGGCATTGCTTCACCAGCTTACAACGGAATAGAAAAGATGAGTGAAAAAAAAGTTTATATGACAGAGTGGTATTAATCTCAACCCATTATCAAACAATTCCAAAACTAAAACACATAAATTCATCATATAATTTTGACACGTTTTTTACGTCAAACTCACGTATGCCATGAGTGGGTGGTGTTGAAGTTTGTATAAGAGCCGTGGATGATGTTGAATCTTGTAGAAGAGCTGTGGCTGGTTCTGGAGAATGGTGAGTTCACGTTTTTGTCATCATTGTTGCAAGTAGGACAACATATGATCCCCGAATTGAGAATCTTATAAGAAAGTTCATAACACTTTTCTGGAACGTCTTCCAAGTTTGCAGATGATTCTTCAACATTTTCTAAATTCAATACTCTTTGAATCACATCGTTGATACAGTTCTCGCACTTGGAACAATATATGTCATATGATTTTATTAAATTATGTGCTTTTTTGAGGAATTCTTTTTCTTCAACAATACTGTCGAATGATTTAGTAGCTTCAGATGGGGAGAGGAATGAGGAAGCTGAGTCATAAAAAAGATTATTATTAAATTAGTATTTTGACCAAGTCCACAAAATACAGACCATCAATTATCAATTGGATCGTTAGTCAATTATAGGTCAAAGTGTTTTTACCTTTTTAATGATGCGAGAGAAGTGAAGAGGAAAAGTCAGAAGAATCTGAAAAACGATCCCTCTTCATCGGAGAAAATTTGCACCTTCGAGATAGCTCATCAGAGCCTCTCCAGAAAACTGGCATGAATTTTGGTAAAAAACCAAAAACTTCTTTTGAAAATTTTTCTTTATTCAGTTACATATTTTGGATGATTTTGAGTCGAGCAAATTTGGACAACTTTAATTAAACAAAAACATATGCAAAAATAATCAAAACACAGGTTTTAAGGTAGAAGACAATGTCGACTTTGGTGTTAGACTGTTGACTGGTTTAGCTGGACCGAGTCCGATTTCTTACTTTGGTCCAATTGAACCAGATTGAGTAATTAACTCTTATTTCTCCTTGACATTAATTTTTTTTTCTTATTCTAGGGCCTAATTAAAAGAAATTGGAGGATTTTAACGAGAAAAAGGGCTTAAATAGGTAGGCCATAAGTAGCTTATTGGAGTTTCGTTTGTGAAGTTTTTTTTCTCATAGAACATGCATGAACATGGTCTATTATCTCAAACTCAAGTACTATATGGTCGTATTGATGGAAATTAAGCCTATTAAGCGTGTTAATTGGCTATTAGTGTGTGATCACTCGGTTTTTGGTAATTTATTTTATTGATTGTTGGTGGAATTATGGAATTAATAGCATAGTATGTGCTTTGTTATGCTTACTATTGTACCCTAGCTGTAATTCATGACTGTGGGCCTCTTTAATAGGTCACAATGTGGGGTCTATTAGGGGTTAGCCAACCAATCCCTGATAGTGAAGTTGTCTTGAGGGATAGGGATGAGGTAGTATTGTGTAGTTGGAGAGGCACGGGGTCACTCCCCTTTGTAATTATATTATTAGTACAATGTGAGGAGTCTTAAAGGATTGTCGGTTAACCTTATAAACCATTTGAGTAGATGAGGTTTGCATTGGTATACTGAGTTGGCTGTGCATCGGGCCATACCCTAGATGAACGTGTACTACAGTACCATTAGGTTATTATATGAAGATTGTTCAAAGGATCTCCAACTATCTTTGACAATGAACGTGTTCAGAAGAGCAGATCTCAAGTTACTATGATTATATGGGAATCATTAGAGAATAGGCAACTAGTTCTCTTTGTCTACCAAGACAAAGAGACACATATGTCCTAGAGTTGGATGACGGTGGAGGTCGTGCCTCACCTTATCGTGATCCGATTGGCAACAGGGAAATGATTGAGAGCATTTATATTATTTTAAGAAGAGAAAGAATGGAAAAACCAAAAACAAAATGAAAATGCATGGTTAGTATTAGAAATTATAGAGTAAGTTCAAACCTGGGGTGGTTAGAGGTGGTTGGAGGAATTGTTCTGGCAATGTTGTATTTGAAGCGACTAAAATATTGGTCTTCTATCTCCAGCAACTGTTTTCTAGCATTGACTGCTTGAATACATATACCAAAATTAATAAAGACTGGAACTGAGACCATATTATAATTGAAAAAGTGGAATAAAGTTTACCTATCTTTTCATATGCATATGCATCTCTCTCTTGTGGGTCGAGAACTTTTTGTAGCAGGCAATAACAATCACTTTCCAAGTTTATCATTTTTACTCTAAGAGAATCTGTAGATCCACAAAATAAAATTTCATTTCCAAGCTTAACTTACATGATGTTTGTAGTACTTTCTCCCAGACGTACTCCAAATGAATTTGGTCGACATCAAATGAAGTGTATGTGTTGGCATGGTTCTTGGTGGTCTCTCTTCTAATACCCAAAAATATTCATCTTCCACCCTTAAATATTGTTCTCTCAAATTTACTGCCAAATAAATTTAACAAATGAATTGAATTGAATACAATTATCCCATGATTAAAATAAAAGTCGTGAACTACTAGTGTTACTCATCCTTTCCAGTGTATATTTTTTGTAGTCGATGTTGATGGTGTCATCCCCCAAATTTGGTTGCATTTCTTGTTCTTTCCACAAAGAAATTGCATTCATAGATTCTGTACAAGTGTGTAATACTATATTAATCACCATTTAAAATGGGCATATTAAATATTTATATATATAATTCAAAAAAGAAGATAGGTTGTAAACAAATAACATTATTTTTTGGCCTCACACACTTACCTGCCCGTTCAAGTACATCCATAGAGTATCGTGAAAGTATATCATCCGAGTACGTCGCCCCAGCTAGCAAGGACCAAAGATATTCACCTTCTAACTTCATCATTTCTCTTCATAATTACTGTAAATCATTCATTGTTAGTAAGGTTTTGTTTTCGTGATTCACTTATACTACACCTCTTTATTATTTGAGGTTGTCTTGATTTAGAATATATATCTTAATCAACCCAACTTAGCTCATAGTTTCAATAGTTCATCAATTTTTATCAATATACTTTTAGCTCATAGTTACAATACTTATTTGATTTACTCTTTCACTTACTCATAACTGTTAGGAAATCTTCATCGGAGTACTTGGGAATTACATCATCCACCCCAGATGATGACTGAGAGAGAAGCTTTCCCCTTCGCCTTCGTGAGATTAAACATACTTTTTCTGCATGCTCCAACTCTCTTCTTGTATCAAGTGCAAATTGTATTAATTAGTTACAATCATCAAATAATTAACCAAATTATGCATCCATAAATACTGAAGTAGTAACTAAGTACCTAACTTTCTTAATACATCCTCTTTACTTTTTGAGCATTTCCCTTGCAATATGCCACCATATTCATCCTCCTGCTCTACCAAATGTTTTCTCAAACATACTGCAAATTTTTCATACATTAATCAATCAAATTTGTTTGTTGAATATAGTTAATCCTTAGTGTTCCTCATTGAGTATTTTCTTTTTTTCCCCCTCGTAGTAGACAAAAATAATCTGTAGAGAGAATCTTCAATCTCAATCTACCTGTAAACCATAACGAGAATCAATCAAAGCAGTATTTATATATATATAGTATTTTAATTTAGTATACTGAAACCTTACCAGACACAAGTATGATGGAATGGCTACCATCTGGTGACTGAAATCTCTTTAGGATTAGCAGCAGATTCTTTTCCCTTTCCGGCTTTGTTGTTTCTATATAACATAACATACATCAAATGTTACGGTATAAGCAAATTCTATGTATATTGATTATTCACAGTCGTTACCGATGGATTACCTGTAATTCCGTCCAAACAATTAAGCTCAGTTTCAATTGACGAAAAGCCTTGTGTGATTGGCGCTGCTTCTTTGTGCTTTCTTTCCAGCATGTATTTGATTCCTTCTTCAATTTTTATATCCACGTCCTTTAATTTCAAATAGCTTCTTAGTGCGAGTGAAATAGCATTCCCAACGCAGCATTTTGCTCTCTTATCCTCGACCTTCTTCAGCCTCTCCGACTTCTCTTCGACAATACGTTTTCCTTTCCGGTCATTCTTCCGGCTCTCAACAACGGACTCCTCCACACAACTTTCTACATTTTCCTCCTGTTTTTCTTGTGTGTTCTCCATTGAAACCCTTGGCTGCGGCCTGCCAGATTTTGTTCTCATCTCACAAACTCTCTCTTGAGAAGGTTGTTTGTTAATGGAGTGAGGCCCCTGTCACTTGCTCCGCCCATTATCTACGCTCTATATGAATTCGCCCACATGATTCATTTATTACAAATCCTCCAAATTGGAATACATTTTTTCATAGATTTCTAATTCAATTTTTTTTTACCTTTTCAAAGTTTGAATGTTGCAGCACCTTACCACCATACCATTAGGCATGGCCAAGTCAAATGAATATATATCACAAATTTTGCTTTTGAAAGGTAACCGTATAACCCACCGTCGGTAGATATTATCCATTTTGACCTACTACTGTTATGTACTTCATCAATTTAAAGTGTCTACTCGAGGTTTCCACACCCTTATAATAAATATTTTGTTCTTCTCTTCAACCAATGTGAGGTTTTATAATTCATCCCCATTAGAGGCCAGCATCCTTGTTGGCACACTGTTCAGTGTCGGACTCCAATATCATTTGTAACCGCTCAAGTCCACTACTAGTAGATATTGTCCGTTTTAGCCTGTTACATATCTCCATCAGCCTAATGTGTCTAAGGAGAAGTTTCCACACCCTCTAATAAATACTTTAATCTTCTCTCCAACTAATGTGAGGTCTTATAATTTATTCCCTCGGGGCCAGCGTCTACTAGAAAAAAAAATTCCACACCCTTATAATAAATATTTCGTTCTTCTCTCCAACCCAATGTGCGGTCTCATAATTCATCCTCATTGGGGGGCCAATGTCCTCGCTGGCACACCACCTAGTGTCTGACTCCAATATCATTTGTAACAGCTCAAGCCTACCGCTAGTAGATATTATCTGCTTTGGCCCGTTAAGTATCACCATCAACTTCACAACTTTAAAACTCATCTACTAGGGAGAGGTTTTCATGCCTTTACAATAAATGTTTCGTTCTCCTCTCTAACCAACGTGAAATCTCACATGAAATGAACCAAGTGTCGGTACTGTCGTGATCAAATTATTATTGAGTAATATTGGTTCTTTCAAGTGGGAGGCACAAATTCAACAACTGCCACCTAAGTTTATAAAGAAATGATGAGAAAGAAATAAATTAAGAAAATGAGGGGAGGGAAAGAGATATGAATTGAGAAAGAGGAAAGAAGAAGAAGGAAAAGAGAAGGCAGCCAGAAACAAGTAGTTGTTTGAGAAAGTTCAAACATCCCGTATGCAATAATCACTGAATATGAGTATACATTGACGGAAGCAGTAGCAACCAAAGCTGAAAGTGAAAGACAAATCAAGAAAATGGCACTGGCAGGAGGAGGAGGAGGCTGCCACCAACCTCCCCATACCCACAGGAATATCGGCTGTTCGTTCTGTTCAACTTCTATTACTACTAATTCTTGTATACTTTAGTCCATTCTTTGCTAATTTGATCCATATTTACTGGTTTGATTATTAATACAGGTGTTGCTAACCTCAAAAATGGAATCATTGTTGATGCAGGTATGTATGTAGAAGCCCTTAAAACTTACTTTTTTTTTTATCCATTTCAAGGGTTCTAAGACGACTCATACTTTACCTTTCAGCTAGATCCTAAAGATGAATAGTTCGGTAAAGATCCTAAACATGGACCATTGGGGGAAGATCCTAAACATGAACCGGTAGGGGAAGATCGTACAGATGAACAGTTGGGTGAAGATCCTAAATATGAACCGTTGGGGGAAGATCCTAAACATGAACCGGTAGGGGAAGATCGTACAGATGAACAGTTGGGTGAAGATCCTAAATATGAACCGTTGGGGGAAGATCCTACAGATGAACAGTTAGATGAAGATCCGAAAGATGAACAAATAGGCGAAGATAATACTGAGGAACAATCAAATGAAGTCATTTACACTCATAATGGTGAACAGGAAGTCCTTTGTCAACAAATTTTAGTTGCTTCAACTCCACACGAACTCATTGTTACTGAACCAGAAATTGAAGAACAACAAAGTGCAACTTCAATTAGAACCGAAATTGTGAAAAGTGTGCTGTATGGCGGTTTAACTGAACTGATAGCAAGCTTAGGCATTGTCACATCTTCAGCAAGCACAGGTGCTACCACTGGTAAATTTCTTTCTATTCCTAATCCACCAATAGCAAATATTATAAAAAATGATAGGGAGACATTTCCACACCCTTATAAAAAAGTGCTTCATTCTCTTCTTCAACCGATATGTGATCTCACAATCTACTCCCTTCATAGCCCAACGTCCTTGCTGACACTTGTTCTCTTCTCCAATCAATGAAACCCCAATCCACCCCCCTTCGAGGCCAACATCCTTGCTGGCACACCGCCTCGTGTCCACCCCCTTCGAGGTTCAGCCTCCTCACTAGCACATCGTCTGATATCTGCTTTGATGTCATTTGTAACAGTCTAAGACCACCACTAGCAATTATTGTCCTCTTTCGACTTTCCCTTTCAGACTTCCCCTCAAAGTTTTAAAACGCGTCTGCTAGAGAGAAGTTTCCACACTCTTATAAAGAATGCTACGTTCTCCTTCACAACCGACGTGGGATCTCACACCTTCTACAGTGCTTTTAGTTTAATACACAGACAAACAATCAAATAAAGAAGTCATTGATACTCACAGGAAAAACGGTAGCTCTTTCACTATCAAACTTGATTATTGGACTGTTTGTGATGAGCTATAGAGTGAGTAATTACATTCCCCTCTTCTTACAATGCCAATACCTATTTCTATAGTTCTGAATTCAATGACCAATTTCCAGATATCAAAACACTGGAAAAGCGGCCAGGAAAGTGGACCTGATGAACAAAGAGAGGAAGAAGTGGATAGATATGAACAAGTGTTCGGAGATAGAAAAAACTATCGCCTCCATTTGACAGTGGCTATCCTATCATTCCTGATATTTGGGTTGGTGCCCCCTCTCCTTTATGGCTTCACGTTCCGTAAGCCAGAGGACAAATTTCTCAAGATTCCAACAGTCACAATAGTCTCTGTTCTATGTATTGGATTGCTTGGTGTGGGTAAAGCTTACATTGAGAAGCCAGAAAATTGCCTTGTCTATGTTCATATCATTGGGGGATGCATTGCTGATGCAATTGGGACGTCGGCAGTGACAACTTTAGGAGGTGAGCTGATTCAAAACTATGTTGATCGAGCTGGCTGGTTTGATTTTGAGCCGAACAAAGTTCCAACCTTCTCCTACCAGGCATGGATTTTGGGTATCAGACATGGAGATCCGTTTGAACTTTTTGTTCCTTAAATCTTATAACGGTGTGTTAAAACTGAATATGTAAGCATATTTCTTTCACTTTTGAACTTTGGACTGAAAAATTGAAGCTACTAATCTTCATTGCTTGGGAGTTTCGTATTTCTTTAGTTTTATGATGGAAAAGCAATATAATGGCACGTACTCAATTGCTTTTAAGTATAGTCATTTAGAAACATAGTTTTTAAAGCATAGACTTTTCAATGTGCTCACATTGCTCGAGTTCATAGATTAGGCCACATCATAGCCTATATTGGCCCTAAGTCCACTACGCGAGTTTATTAGAGAGGTTTCATGTAAGTCCACTATGCGAGTTTATTAGAGAGGTTTCATGTGAATCTATTAGGGAGTTGTTCTCCTCTCCAATACAATCCACCCCTTGGGAGTCCAAGGTACGGCTGTGGATCTCTACCGCTCATGACAGGCTCACTACAAGAAACTAACTAGCAAACTTCACAGTCGTCCCCACAGGGTACAATTATAAATCATAAAATATCATAAGCCAGTTCTATGGTTATCCAAACCCCTGAAAATTGAGTCAAGTTCACAATTAGAGGTTAGTTGGCGAACCCCTAATCGTCCCCATATAACCGCATACATCGTGAACATATGACATAGAGACATAGCATAGTGATCTAAACATAGATACCTAGTCATGAATCTCACTTCATAAGATAGTGCATACGCATTTCAGTAAACATACATAATCACATTCAACATGTGTCATCTCAACTCATTCTATGCTCAAACATATATAATCGGGTTCCCATAACATGCTTTATATCATATTAAAGGAATGCTCTCAATTTCAGTCATATCATAACTCAACAGTTCGTTCTTCGATAAGCGTGTATCATAACGTTTAACGTGCTCTTACATACATCTATTCAAACCAACTCATTTCATACTCAAATTTCTATGACATACTTCTCATGTCATACTTTTATATATACTATGAGCATAGCTAAATCCAAGGTTCCGAGGTGCCACTTACTTAGAAAGGAAAGCATGACACTTTTTGTTCGAGTTGGTGTCCTCAGTAGATTCCAAAAATTGCCAGAACTCCTCCAATAGTTCCAGCAATGACATGCAAAGCTGAATAAGTCATCCGCCAGTCCCCAGCAATCACCGATGAAAATCTCCTTCAAAGCACCACCAAGTAATAAACAATGCTTTAGCACTCTTTTTATCCCGTAGTTGACAGTTCTGCAAATGCAACCGCTCAAGAACAGGACAAGGACTCAGATTTCAGAATTTGCAAATTCTCACAAGCAGCAAATTCCTCTCAGCAGATTATCATTACACTAGTGCAATTCAAGTTCTTGCAAGGTCTCACATTCCTCGGCCACACCCAACAATCCCAACTCACTTCCACCAATAAAAGCTAAATCCAAGGCCAATGCTTTCAGCCCTCTATCAATCACCATATTGTCAATAATATTTTCCTCACCAACACCCGGAATAGGCAAAAATCAGGAATCAGCATGCATTGAATGAATCCTATTACTCAACAAGAATACCAGAATTTCTAAAACACATCAAAGATCCAGAGATTAAATCCACACGATTAAGATTTGGAAACCTCAAAATCAACCTACCCGACAAGAGAAAATTCAAATCCATTACCCTGAGCTACCGTACAATACGACCCTACTGATTCAGCCACCGTTTGCAGACAAGAAAGTTGGAGTTCCGCTGAGAATCCGGTAATTTCGTGAGGATCCTAAGAAGAAGCTCATCCGAAAAAAGCAGCGTACGGTCGATTTTGCAGAAATTAGCGATTAAGAGGGGGTTGGTTTTGGAGTTGGATGTGGGAATATGAGAGTCTATACACGAGGATTGAAGTTGCATAGCAACAATAACACTCTAAAGCAATTCGGTGTCCTTCTGCCACACACATCAGACCAACGCAGTGTCCTCTTCTTCCCCGGCGAGTTAGGGTTCGTTTGAGGGCTCGGAACCGAGGAAATGGAGCTTCGTCTTTTAGCTTCAAACAACACCGATTGTGCTCGTCCATGTGCATAACCCATGGCGGTAATGGCGGTAATACTCCTCCCCAAACACCGCTACGTCTAAGCTTTCCAGAATACTCTCTTCTCTGTGTCTATCTTCTTCAATATACCACATTGATCTGCCAACAACAGTTCGAAATCTGCAAATTGGGTTCTTCAAAATTTCTTTAGACAGTGGATATTTGGGCTGCTCTCAGCTCACTGCTCACTGCTCACTGTACCCGCGTCAGCCGTCAGCGTACGGTGGGGGCTGCGAAAAGGCATTTTTCTTTTTCTTTTTTTTAATTATTTTTATTTTTTGGACCATTGATATTACAACCATTCTAGCGGGCTATCCAAACTCTATTACTACATGTAATGCCTAAATTCATCTCTAATAGATATTTTCTGTTTCGATCCGTCAAGCATCGCCCTTAACCTCACGGTTTTAAAACATATCTATTGATAGATTTTCACACCCTTACAAGGAACATTTAGTTCTTCTATCTATCCAAAATGCCAGATCTCACATAGCCTTAAAACAAAATTATCGTCCCTAGAAAAGAGTTCCTACAATAACGAAGGTTGTCCACACAAACTAACCTAAGATCTAAAATTAACCTTTACTTGATATCCGTTCCATTTAACCTATAAACTCATATTTTGTCCTACTTAACCTCATTCAAGATGTAACAACGTTGTATTACTCAAAAAAACATATTAAATTAGGTTGTCACCATTAAATTATGGTTGAGAATGGAAATTTTAATAAATATCCCACTTAACCATGTTAATTTAGGTTGTGACTTCTTGTCAAAACAAATAGACCATAATGATAAAATGGAAAGATTGAATCCTCCAACAATGGGTGGTGGGTGTGTTCTTTTCAAGTCTTGAGATCCAAAAAAAAGCAAAAACCCCAGTGGCCCATCTCATCCTTCAACCATTCAGATTCGGCACACCTTTCACCGATCCCTGCCGCAACCTTTCCTCAATCCTATAACTTCATTCTATGTGGCGCCATTGATCCAGCATTCCCATTCTCTATACCCATTTCCCAACTACAAGATTATCCCTATGAACTGTGGTGCCATTTGTTTCTTACAATTTCCCTAGCACAAGTTCTTACACTACCCATTCGTTCCATTTTCATTTCTTCTACTTGCTTATTAGGGCTTGTTTTCTGTCTCTGTCGCGATTTCCTTATCTGGGTGCATTGTATTTCTCATGCTCATTTGATTTGTAGCCTCGTTTTCGCAAATATAGCAATATTTCGTTGAGGCCCAAGTGGAGTTCATCAAATCTGTTGATACGATGAGTGGGGTTTCCCGTATGTGTCACGAATCTTCCCATATACCCCTGATTTGATCTGGGTGTGGACGGTTTTTGGAGTTGGGTATTGTTTATTTCCCCCCCTCTCTTTGGGATTCGGGAGTTTTTGAAATCCGACAATGGCCGCTTCAGGTGAAGAGCTTTCGGATTTGAAGGTCGAGAATGGAGCGAAACATAGCGGGGTTGAGGATGAACCTGAAACTATTGCTATCATGGATGCCGTGAAAGTTTTGTTGCAGGGTTTAGGGGAAGATATCAATAGAGAGGGCATCAGAAAGACCCCCCTCCGTGTAGCCAAGGCTCTTAGAGAAGGAACAAGAGGTGAGAGTTGCCTTATTATAGTAGAATAAGCCTCATAAAGGTATTTGTTTATAAAGAACTGCCACTATTAGTTGTGCATGTGTGGTCAGGTGAGTTTGGATGTATTTCAAAGTATTTTTATGGAAGCATATATAGCTCACTGTTCTCTTGTTCTTATTGGTTCTTAGTACTTGTTTCTAAAAGCTGTTCTTAGCGGCTAACTGCCAAGTTACCTTAAAGATTCCAAAAACTTCAGACAAATGAAAACTCTTACATTTTTTTTATGAGGAATTTGAGTATTACGCAAGGATGTCATGGGCAGAGTTCCCTCTAATTTCAGGCTTCTAAGACCGTTCAAGCCTCCATCCCCCATCTTTCCCAGCTTCCAGCTTCTTAAAACATTATGTAAAAGATTTGTCGTGTTGAAATGTTTTTGGAGAAAAGTCCCTTGGCTTGATAATGGGTATGTTTTTATACTGGAAAACAGAACTGGAGTCCTATACCATCTCTAATTGAAGCTTCCATCCATCTTGCCCCTGTTTTAGTTTTGTTTTGTTTTTGTTTTTGTGTTTGTTCTTGTTCCTGTTCTGTTTTTCTTCTTGTTCTTTGTTCTTGTTCTATTCTGTTTTGTTTTTGTTTTTGTGCATAGTTGGACATGGGAACACCAGGTTCTTCATCTTGATGCATAGTCTATTTCAGAATTTGTGCTGAGATTATGGTGGCATTGGTTTTTGAGAATTAAGCGCATTTTTTGTCCTTATTTTGTCTCTCTTCTGCTGCATTGAATTTGTTCATGCTGTGTGACTTGACATAAACACCTGGATGGTTTCCATAAATTGAGTTTTGATTCTTAAGAACTTGTAGAATCAGATAATCATAGTCGACAACTTTAAGGAAACAAAAGGAAGGAAAGGATAAGATGGAGCAATTGCCTGGAAACATATGAATTCTGATGTAAAATGAACACTATCATCTCTTCATTCATATACATAATTCTATTTCAGGGTATGGACAAACAGCGAAGGACATTATTGAAAGTGCTTTATTCCCCGAAGCTGGACTGCATAATGGTCTTGGTCAAGCTGGAGGTGCAGGTGGGATTGTGATTGTTCGAGATCTTGACTTCTTCTCATATTGTGAGTCATGTCTGCTTCCATTTCAAGTGAAATGTCATGTGGGTTATGTTCCATCTGGTCAGCAAGTTGTAGGGCTGAGTAAGCTCTCTCGAGTTTCTGACGTGTATGCAAAGCGACTTCAAAAGCCTCAACGTCTAGCTGATCAAATTTGTTCAGCTCTGCAACATGGTATCAACCCAGGAGGTGTTGCTGTTGTACTTCATTGTTTGCACATTCATTTCCCGAGCTTGGAGTCGGTCTTTCTCGACTCGAAATCCTCAGGATGGGTCAAAGTGCAGGTTCAATCTGGTTTGGGAGCTTTCGAAAACCAAGATGCTGATGCCTGGATGGACTTCTTCAGTCTTTTAAAATTTAGAGGCATAGATCTAAGCAAAGCTGGTGCACCAGATTCAAATTCTCAACTTTGGTGCCCATCTCATTTTCCTTCAGCTTCTAAATTCTCAACCAAAATCGAGTCATTAAACCCGAGAATGACCACTGCAGCGACATCAATTTTGAGGTCGTTAGGTGAAGACCCTTCAAGGGAAGAGCTTCTTGGAACACCTGGTCACTTTGTGAACTGGCTAATGAACTTCCAAAACTGTAATGTGGAAATGAAGATGGATATGATGAAGCTCAATGGCTTTGCTAATGGTAGAACTCATTTCGAACACAACGAGAACGGTAACCTCTCCGAGAAAAAAATTCAATCAGAGATGAATTTCTCGTTCTGGTCTCAATGCGAGCACCATTTACTTCCCTTTTATGGCGTCGTGCATATAGGATTCTTAAGAGCTGATGGAGTCACTCACCTTGAGAAATCACTTCTCAACTCAGTAATACATTTCTATGGTTTCAAGCTTCAAGTTCAGGAGAGAATGACCAGGCAGATAGCAGAGACAGTCTCATCATTATTAGGAGCAGACATCGTAGTTGTTGTTGAGGCAAGTCATACCTGTATGATCTCAAGAGGAATTGAGAAGTTCGGTTGCACGACAGCTACAATTGCTGCGCTCGGTCAGTTTTCATCAGATGCAGCTGCAAGAGCCATGTTCTTGCAGAGCATTCCCAAAACTACCATCGGAGAACTGTAAGGACAAGCTTATGATTATGCCTAAGACCCCTTCACAACACAGAAGTTTTGCACAATTTGATCAATAGCGCCATACACATTTGGCTGGAAGGTATAGTTTATGGGTCAGGTCATCCTCCCATTCATATTATATTTAGCTGTTTTAGACCAAAGGGATCCAAAAAGGATACCGTTTATACTTGATTTTGTTGGTCAGGAGCCCAGGAGGGGCAGCTTTCCAACAGATTTCTTGGCCAGTTTTGGTGCAATTTCCTTACTAGGATGTATATCCATGAAACCTTTATGTATTCCTATCATTCCTCATCTTTTGGGCAAAATCTTGCTTACAAACTACCAATCAAAATTCAGAGGCTAAATTTACAGTTTAATATTTTCTATCACTTTTACCTCATATATAAGAAGACAGTACATTGTCTAATAGGATACACAAATCATCACAATATGAACAGTTTTAGCATTATTCCACACTGCACAGTTGGGTGACAATATCATTTACCCACCTATTATTTGTAGCAAAAGAACCTCTGAAGTCCAAGACACTGCCCCTGCTTCAATCTAACCACATATGTCGAATCTCATGCCAAACTATCTCCATACCTTTCGAAACGTTCTTAGGTTCCTGTTGCTCGGGATGATGAACATATACCTGATACAGATAAGCTGAGATGATAACAATCACCATGACGGTTAGAAAGTATGTATTCGCTGATACGGAGGACACGTGATCCTGCAAGTGAGCAATCAACTTTGATTAGTGATCCCTTGGAGAAGTATAATACTGAATTGTTTGATACACGTGCATATTCTGAAGTTAAAAAAGAACAAAATGAAAGACATGAAACTTCGGATAGAACACGAGGCGAAAGAAACCTTGAACACCGTCCAGCTCTTGGGAGAAAGGTTTTTATCAGCATGCTCCAGACAGTAATGTAACATATCAATTATCGTCAACTCCGTGACTGGATCATAACTATCTGCTAGCACAATGGATTACCCTTGTTTGCTATTATTGATTATGAGAAAAAAAAATGGACAAACAATTCTATTGATGTCGAAAGCAGTTTTCAAAAGAACGGGGAAGCGGGATAATAACGAAACCAATGAATCAAATTTCACAAGGAAATATAGGACAGTATACGGTACCTGGGATGTCAAATATTTGTTTCGCGGATGGAATACCTAATAAATTTCCCAAATAGGCACGTACACGAACACGGTCCGCAAAGGAAAGTAGATCTCCATGAGTTATAACAACAACTGGTTTGTCATCTGTGAGAAAAAAGAGAATAAAATTCTAATTTCTCAATAGCATGAAAAAAAATGATCAAGGCATACAACATGCAACCTAAGGAATGTGATCTTAAAAAAATAAATAATGATAATAATCTTCCTGTTACTCTCATAAACATGATATTATAACTAATGATGAGTGGGATAACTTCACCTCCATATGATAAATAAGGGCAATTGAACGCAGTAGTAATCACTGTTTCATAATCTTTCTCTATGTCATCGCCATCCATTGATTTAAGAACTGAAAGCCCATCAACGACGAATATGACAAAATTAATCATTCTGACCGCCCTAGAAAGAGGGAAGTGTTGGCGAGCTTTACAACTCATTCTATTTATTAAACTTGAAGCATCAGATTTCCTGGGAAGTAATTTACACACATGAAGAAAGTGAGTCAGGATTGAATTTAAAACTAATGGGAGATGTAACAGTCCAAGCCCACTGCTAGCAGATATTGTTTGCTTTGGCCCGTTATGTATTGCCGTAAGTCTCACAATTTTAAAACACGTTTATTAGGGAGAGGTCTCCACACCCTTATAAGGAATGTTTCGTTCTCTCTAAACACTGCCCAATGTCTAGCTCTAGTCCAAGGAGGGAACGAAACATTTCTTATAAGGGTGTGAAAATCTCTCCCTAACAAATGTGTTTTAAAACTGTAGGGCTGACGACACGCAATGGGCTAAAGTAGACAATATCTGCTAGCGTGAGCTTGAGCGGTTACAAAAGAAGAAAATGGTCTCAATGTTAAAACTTCAACCTTGCTACAAGTTCTCCATGGTGAACACCCTTGGTCATCCATTGTTTCAACACTTCAATATTTTCAAATGAGTCATCAGACAGACCACGGGTATCGTATAAACAAAAAGATTTCGACTTCCTCAGAATCATATATTCTTGAAGGAAAAAAGTTCCATCTTCACCAGATGAATTACCTACACCGAAAAGATACGACAATTTTTAAGTTCAAATAGGCAACTCCTATTTTCATTTAGAGAACAGCCTCAAATGAATTCAAAGAAATACATGATACTTGAGCTCTTTCGGGCACAAAACGGTCCTCGTCAAACACCTTGCAGATCCTATTTATAAGACTACTTTTACCAGATCCTTTCGGACCAATCAATATAAGCGACATTGTTTGTGGGATATCATAGTCAGACAATTTCATTCCACCTACCTGCTCAATCCATGATCCAGGAGAATAGCTGCCAAATAGAGGCTAGCATGTCAATATGAGCAAAATTTAGTAGCAGTCTTGAAAATTATAAGAGATATAGTACTCATGAACCATCATTAACTTTAATTAGTTCATCTACAACTCAAACAAGGAGTTCACACCGCAATTTGGGCATTACTAGGGATAATAAATTCATTTCTTCTTCATGAGATGTTAGACCTTTACAGTATAAAATTTAATTCCTTCATTCTAACATATTTGAGCTGAAAAGTAATAGAGATACCTCAAAATTTTTCTCTTAGCCTGATTCAAGTTCTCACTACGAATCCGTAATTGATCAGAGCTCTCCAAGATCTCTCTATGTACATTATTTATCCTCCTCCGATATATTTCAACATTCAAAGCAGATGAAGAAAATTGAGATTCAGTCGCATCAAATTCTCCCATGATTACTCCATTTTCCATATCCGCTTCATCATCCTTAGTTTGCATGCTCAAGTTACTGTTGTTACTCCTTTCTCACCAAGAACAATACCCATAATAAGCAACATCATAAAATTAATTGGGTTTTCACTGGAAAAGGAGTGATTGGAACATGAAACAGAGCAATCGAAACGTATACCTGAGAGTGGGCAGTTGAGTAGCAATTTGCGACTGATCATGCTCGAGAGAAGAACCCCCATCTGCAATTGGATATTAAATTAAAGCTGTGACGCAAAATTACTTCGGATAGAAATTAAATAAGCAACAAAAACTTGATGAAGAAACGTGGAAATTAGACGCCAATTTCTTCGATCAAAAGAACAGAAAACTGAAAATACGAACAGAGGTGATCGTGAAGGATGGAAGGAGTAGAAAGCGAAACAGTATCGCCGCCCATGGTTGCGCCAAGAATTAGGGTCGTGGGAGGATAGAGAAGAAAAGTGGGGGCACGTTTTCTTGCGCGCTAAGATTTTGACGTGCTTCAATTACAGTCGAATTACAGTTTTACTGGTTGACCCACAAAATAAATAAATAAATAAATAAATAACCTATAATTTGAATCAAATTTTCGAATTTTAAAAATTTTAACCTAATTTATACCTTAAAAAAAAAATTAACTCAACTTCAAGTTGGTTTAAGATTTCACATTGGTTGGAGCGAAGTGCAAAACATTTTTTAAGAGGGTATAGAAATCTCTCCCTAGTAGACGCGTTTTAAAATCGTGAAATTAACAACGATACGTAACGAGTCAAAGCAGATAATATCTACTATTGGTAGACTTGAGCTATTACATTGCGTTAAATCCAGATTGGTCTAGTTATCGAGTCATAAGACTGCTCCTAATTTTTAATTTGAATTGATTCACAGTACATCTCTGGTTGACCCTTTAAACCTAAGGCTCGACGATAATTTTGCCAGTGGCATGACCCTCCATACTCCGAGCCCAAGCCCTTTGAGCCTCACTTAAAGGATGCTTCGAGTCAATCACAGTCTTGAGCTTCCCATCTTTCATTAACTTAACCAAATGTTCCAAATCCTTTCCTTTAGGATTTAGTAGCAAAGGCACCAACTTCTTCTTTGAGAAGCTCACCTTCTGAAGACCATAAGTCAACAACGTCCCAATTCCAGGGGTAATATCTATCACTTTCCCAGTAGGACTCAAATTAGGCTCGAACCTCGACCACGGTATCCCAGTTGCACAATGTACAACAATATCGTATTTACGCTGCGACGGGCTGTTTAGAGCAGCACCATCCGGTGTCGTGTAGTCAAGAACCTCATCTGCCCCTAACTTTCGGACGAGCTCGATGTTACGACTCCCACACGTTGCTGTTACATGAGCATTTTGAAGCTTCGCCAGTTGAATGGCATAGTGCCCGACCCCGCCTGAGGCTGCAGTAACCAGAATGTTTGGCTGCTGTCCGGGGACTTCATCGAGATGTGTGAGGGCTTGGTGAGCGGTTAGACCGGCGACAGGTAAGCCTGCAGCTTCAGCAGCTGAGACTTCTGGTGGTCTGTGGGCTGTTATGCTCTCTTTTACGGCCGAAAATTCAGCCAACCCACCTCCATTCTGTCATTGGTCACAAAATCTCGAGATTTAAATCTTATTTTAGTCTCTAAACTTCCATTTTTATCGTAAAAGATTATTAGAACTCACAAAGGGGTTAATCATAGCTAAGACTTTATCACCAGCTCTGAACTTCTTTACTCCCACCCCAACAGCTACTACCTCTCCAGCCACATCAGTACCTAAAATTCCATAGGGAAACGTATATCAACACATGAAAGCATAAGAACACAGTTCAGTAGATATCATCTCAAACAATTCTTACCAGGAATAAAAGGGAACTTGCGGGGAAGAAATGGCCTTAACATCCCTTTCTGGACTTTCCAATCAAAAGGATTAATACTTGCTGCCTCTAGTTTTACAACTACTTCATCCTTCTCTGGACTTGGAACTGGAACTTGACTATGCTGCACAAATTTTAACTTCTCCTATTAAAAAATTATGATAACATATACTCTTGATCCATGAGATTTTGTATCGATAATCGATTTAGTCTCTAAAGTTTCGAATCAAACACTTAAGTCTTTTAAGGATTGACAAAGGACTTGGAACAATTTCTCAAACTTCAAAATGGATCAAATAGACAGTTAGCCCTAAATTTTAGAGCTAGAAATTAATTTTGTAAACAGCATAATGGATTGTAAATGGATAAACAGAGAGACTCGACGAAATCCACAGGATTTGAGCGATGAAGACGCAGAAAGGGAAATATGAAGCGGAAAAAACCTTTAAAGCAGCAGGTCCGCCGCCATAAGCATCGTATTGAACTGCGCGCATGAAATTCTCAGCCATTGCTGGAGTGTCGATTAATGAAAGAGTGCGGACAGTGGTTGAAGCGTCTGCAAGAGATAATACGATACGAATTGTAAAATGTATCACTCTTGTGATGTGTGGCCGTTGCTTGGCCGGCGTTTCGCAGACGTGGAGGATTCTCCACCGCCATTGAAACCAAGGTCTACGCGCTCAACAGATACCCTAAGAAAATTTGTTCTTTTACTCTCATAATTTCGGATAAACAAAAATTTGTATTCTTCAACACGTATTTATACTTACTGGTAGGGGCATTAACGTAGTTGGTGAAAATATTTTTAAAAAATATTTTTATTTGAAATGAATATATTCTTTAAAATTATATATTAAAAATTTAAAAAAATTCATACATTTATAATCTAAGAATAGACTCTGCATTGGTCAAAACAAAGTCATGAGACGAATGTCCAACAAAGGATGACTAAGACTCGAAAGGGAGGCCATAGCCATGCTCTAAAGTTAGTCGAGCCAATAGATTTGACAAATCCTGTGGACATTTCTATTCACTAATTGACTCCAAAGAGGAGGCCATAGTCATACTCTAAACTTAGCCGCAAATCTGGTTTATTCACTAATTCCTAACCACAAACAACTGGGCATCATATAATTACTGACATGGCCGGAATGAAAACTGACTCGAAATAAGGAAAGGTGCGAAGCTGCGAGACTGGAAAGTAGAGATAAAGGCAAAGGAATGGCAAATGGGAACATCTCTATTCACTAATTCCTAACCAGAGAGTGACGATTTTAGGCCTGGATTCTTCATGAAAAATTCACGAGCACTAAAATATTTTTATACGTGGAACATACGCCACTATGGCTGCACAATAATTTTTCCGGTGGCGTGGCCATCCATGCTCTTTGCCCAAGCCTCCTCAGCCTTGCTCAAAGGGTACCTTGAATCAATCGTACTCTTCACTTTCCCTTCCTTCATCAAATTCACAACATACCCTAAATTCTCGTTCTTGAAAGACATCGACCACATAGGTACCAGCTTCTTCTTAGAGAAGGTAAGTTTCTTAATGGCGAAAGTCATCACCGTTGATGCATTTGCCGGGGTTATGTCGACCACCTTACCAGTCGAGCTCAAATTAGGCTCGAACACGGACCATGGGATCCCTGTGGCACAATGGATCACTGCATCATACTTCTTGCCTGATGGACTCTTCAAGGCTGCCCCTTCTGAGGTTTTGTAGTCTATGACCTCATCTGCGCCCAAGCTCTTCACGAACTCGATGTTTCGAGCGCCACACGTAGCGGTCACGTGAGTGTTTCCTAGCTTTGCTAGCTGAACGGCGTAGTGGCCGACGCCGCCAGAGGCAGCTGTGATGAGAATGTTTGATTGAGGACCGTTTGCATCAAGCTTGATCCCAGCAGCTTGGGTGAGAGCTTGATGTGCTGTTAAAGCCGCAACAGGCAGAGCAGCGCCATCGGCTGCGGTCACTTCGGGCGGCCTAACAACTGTTGAAGATTCCTTTGCTACAACATATTCAGCAAGTCCACCTCCGGTCTGTCATTGTCACGCAAAAACATGAACACTTCCAATAGCATGTGAATCAAAGATGCAGCTGCTCTCGTATCATTTATAATAGTTCAAGTCTATCGTTAGCAGACATTGTTTTGACCCGTTACATATAACCGTTAGCTTCATGATTTTAAAACGCATCTGTTAAAGAGAGGTTTCCACACCCTTATAAGAAATGTTTCGTTATTTTCTCCAATCGATGTGGAATCTCACAATTCATCTTTCTTGGAGGCCCAGCCTTCTCATTGGCACATCGCTCGGTGTCTGACCATTTGTAACAGTCAGACACTGGGCGGTGTGCCTGTGAGCAGGTTGGCCCCCAAGAAGGTGGATTGTGAGACCCCATATCCAATAGAGAGGAATGGAACATTTATTATAGAGGTGTAAAAACTTCATTTTAACAGACAGGTTTTAAAACTGTGAGGCTGATGAAAATATGCAACAAGTCAAAACATACAATATATATCTGCGAGTGGAGGGCTTCATAATTTCCTTGCTAATGGTAAAGTAAGATTAACCGTGGAAAAGGGTGAATGAATACTTACAGCATGGTTAAGAAACGTCACGACTTTGTCCCCAGCTTTAAGCCCCTTCACCCGTGCTCCGACCTCTAAAACTTCTCCTGCCACATCAGTACCTGTTTCTAATTTATTGTCAATCACATTATAACAGTCTCATCGAATAATTCATCATTAAACTAAGCGTTAAAGTCAAGCCAAGAATTCAGAACGAACATGGAATATGAGGAAAGTTTCGAGGAAGAAAGAGACGGACGACTCCCTTCTGAATTTTCCAATCAAATGGATTCAGACTAACTGCTTCTACTTTCAGCAAAACCTCATCGTCTTTGGGTCCGGGAATCGGAACTTCTACATGCTGCACGAAGAAACGATATCAGACGTCAAGATCAAACCATCAACTTTGAGACAACGCTTATCGTAACTCATATAAAATGAGTAAAGAGCAACAAGTTTGAAAGGAGGAACCTTGAGAGCAGCCGATCCGCCGCCGTAGGCTTCATACAGAACTGCCTTCATGAGCCTGGAAGTAGCGGAAGCCATCGCCAAATGCCAATAGTTTCCTTTGAGAATCAGAGGCTTAAACTTAGTGCTATGCTTTGATTATTAACCATTTATTGTAGTTGGGTTTGATTTTGTTCTTTGTTTCTTGGGTTGAATTCAATGTTCAAAGGCAAAGGCTACAAGTGTGGTACCCACCGCCGACTCTTTGGAAAATGGGTGTTTTTCTATGATCTTCCATGAAAGTTCTTTTCATTGAGTGATCAAGCAAGTGCCACATGGGCTAGAATCTTGTTCCTATGAATCTTGGGTCGAAGATTGTTGAGAGAGGAGTCATGCATCGGCTCATTAAAGGGTTATCATGAATTTATAAATAAAGAATACATTTCATTAATACGAGGGTCGCTAGACTTTATGTCATACCATTGTGGAAGTCTGTGATTCATAATAAATTGTTCATCTTCTTTTACATGAGTCTTCGAATAAGATGGATGATTTATATAATCTGAATGACCATTTTATTAGAATATATGGACACTAGCTATATTTTTTATTTAGTTTACGTAAATCGTATATTCTATATTTTCATTGTGTCTACTAATACGATCAACATTTACCATGTTCAAGCTAACAGGTACATATGATCATTGATCTCAACGTTGATTTTGGACTACAACTAACACGGACTATCGACACATCGACTTTTTATGGTTTGATTTTGGTGGTGTGGTAGCATCGATCGTCCAATGATATATTGGTTGGCTTGATTTTTTAAATATACACATTTTTTACCGATTCAAATAAAAATATATTGAAACAAAATTTCGTTAATCAAATTATAAAATATCAAATGTAAAATAAAAATATATTTCAAATTTCCTATTTTTTTTTTCTTTTTCATTTAAATATATAAACTCTAAAATTACAATTTTATAATCCAACCAAGGGATCAGTACACCACTGGCGTGGGCCCCTCTCAAAGCCGATAAGATAAGATGATAATGATAAGATAAGTTATCTGACAAAATATTCGAAATTTTTTTCCAATTAAAAATAAATAAATATATATTTTTTTATTCAAACTCCCGATGCACCCTTCCGTACTCTAACTTTTCCACCTTCTTCCCTAAACCGTTTTATTCTCCCTCTCTCCCATAGCTTTCCCTTTGGTTGCAGAGCTTCGACATTCCTGTTGAATGGACCATTCTCTCTCTCTCCACGTCTCTCTTCCTTCTACTCCTAAATTCAACTCCAATCGCTCCGATTTCGCTCCCGGATTCCTTTCTGGTTTCTCCTTCTGGAAGCCACCGCTTACTGCGAGGCCCCGGTCTTTGGCTGTTCTAGCCAGTGCCGGATCCAGTCACTGCGAGTTCGGCAGTTTTAATACTCCTTTGAACCCGAGGTCCTCCGTCGGCAAGCATCTCACTAGAGTTTTGCAGAATTATAGGCAGCTCTTCCATGTTTCTGTCCAGGATGAGTTGAAACGCTTGGCCGATCGGCGTGATGCTGCTGTTGACCGTGTGTTGCTCGCTGCTGGCTCCGATGAAGCCTTGCTGCATAGGTTTGTGTTTTCCTCCCTTTCTGAATCTGAATCTGATGGTTTGAGGATGATACGGTTTCGATGTATCGCCTTTGTTTTTTTTTTTTTTTTTGGTCGAGCAGATTCTTTAAGACAACTTCTCAAATACTTAACCTCTTTTTCTCTCTTTTTTTTTTTTCTTTATGATTAGTCTATTCTGTATGGTTTCGTTAAGATTCCTTGCACTGTGGACAACTCCGTTGACGTGATTGGATTATACTGTGATTAGATCTTTCAAACAGGTGGTTCCTTTCTGGTACACGGCGTTTGGTTTTAAGGACCTATCGAGATAGCGTGTGCTTGTCTATTTGTTATCAAATTGATAAAGATAATTATGTGAACAGATTGTATGGGGAAGAATGGAGAGAGAGAGAGAGAGAGAGAGAGAGAGAGAGAGAGGGGTGAAGAACGAAAGAGTTTTTGCTAAAACAATTGGATTGGGGAGAGAAGCGGAGTGTGATGGTGGTATGGAGTTTGTGTTAGGTTGGCCTTTCTGTTTACAGTTAACAGCTTCTTGGAGTCCCTTTCTATGAGGCCAAAGCCAGTATCAAACAGCAGCTATCTATTCTGTTCCAGTGACCTTAGACACTTTAACACTAAACCTTTTTTCTTTTTTCTTTCATATGAAAGTTTTTCGGGAGTCCCCTCCAACAATCCTTCCCTCTAACAAAGTACGTCATAGAGCCTCTCTCAAGGCCTATAGAGCCCTCGAACAGCTTCCCCTCAATCGAGGTTTGACTCCTTCTTGGAGCCCGCAAACAAAGTACACCATTTGTTCAACACTTGACTCACTTTTGACTATAGTTTCGAGGCTCACAACTTCTTTGTTCGACATTTGAAGATTCTATTGACATGACTAAGTTTAGGGCATGACTCTGATATCATGTTAAGAACCACGAACCTCTACAATAGTATGATACTATCCACTTTTAGTATAAGCTCTCGTGACTTTGCTTTTGGTTTCCTCAAAAGGCCTTATATCAATGGAGATGTATTTCTTGCTTATAAACCTATGATCAATCCTTTAATTAGCCGATGTAGGACTCTTCTCCCAACCATCCTCAACATTTTCCATTTCTTATAACCGGGTGATCACTCTAGTAGTTAGCACTACACACAAATGTATTGAGTATTGCATTAAAGAACAAAAGTATTGATGGCTAATGGCCAACTTCATTTGTCACGCTTAAACATTCATTGCTAGCTTATGGTATTTGATTAGGAAGTAATGTCCATTTTTACTGACATATCTTAATTCCAGGAGGATTGCACAATTGAAGGAGCAGGAGTGCCAAATAGCAGTCCAAGATGTCATGTACATGCTCATTTTCTATAGATTTTCTGAAATCAGAGTTAATTTGGTACCCAAGCTCTCTAGATGTGTTTATAATGGAAGACTAGAAATCTGGCCATGCAAGGACTGGGAACTGGAGTCCATTTACGAGTTAGAGGTCCTTGAGATGGTTAAAGAACACATAACCGCAGTGATTGGTTTGAGAGCAGATTCGAGTGTCACAGACAACTGGGCTATGGCCAACATCAAACAAGCACATCTGGGCCATGTTTACGTAGCCTCCATCCTATATGGCTACTTCTTGAAGTCTGCTTTACTAAGGCATCACCTGGAGCAAAGACTCGCCATACCGAACGTACACCGTAACGGTGGCGGTCAGAAAACTTTCCTTCAGTCCCCAGAGATGTGTCTTTATGGATTTAGAAATCTTCTCTCCGGTCGTCGTCGTAGCAACGTGCTACCGGTGGCGCATAACCAGGAGTTTAACAGCAATCAGGAGATGGAGGCAGAGAAGTTAAAGCGTTTCTTGACAGGGTTTGATTCGGAGGCGTTGCAGAGATGTGCAAAGCTGAAATCTAAGGAGGCCGTGAATGTACTTGAGAACCATAGTTGTGCATTGCTGGGAAACGAGGAAGTCGGTTTCTTGGAGAGGGATGAGGTGATAGCGACTTCATTTTCAAGCTTGAAGAGATTGGTTTTGGAGGCTGTTGCTTTTGGTTCTTTCCTTTGGGATGCAGAGGAGTATGTGGACGCCATTTATAAGCTCAAGGAGAACTAATCCAGAAGGTATGTTCGTAGATACAATAACACTTTCTGTGTACATAAGATGAGTTGCAGACACATTTCACGAAAGTTCAACCAAAGAAAATCTCAGATTCTAAATGATAAGGAATCCTTGTAAGAGAAGTAAGATTTAGATTACTTTATTGATCAAATATCTCAAGTTAAAAACACTTGTTTGAAATTTGAATTATTGTACGAGCAAGATCATCGTGTCAAGCTTGAATGATTCTAAACATGCTATTCAAACTAATGTTAAAAGAATAGCACAAATGTTATTTTCCTACCCTTTTCAAGTCTCTCTACAAAGATAACATAAACGTTTTTGTATATTCTCAAAATGAAACAGATCTTACCTTAGTCATTTTAAGAGGAATTGGGATTTTCCTATTGGGCTAGGTCATTTCATTTTAGGGTCAAGCAGATCATTTCTGATGAAGAGAATGATTAGGTGTTCTTAAGATAGTCTTCAACTAACTAGACTTTTTTAGAATAAGCTAATTCATTTGGGATCCCGTAAATCTACTCTCTTTCTCCTATTCAAATATCAGCCTTTTATCTTTGTGTTTTTGCATTGAGAATTCTTTACGGACTAAGAGATGTCAAAGGAGCTGTTACATTCCTATTTTATCACCATAATTAATCACTTGAAATAAAAAAGAAAAGATTCTAAAAACTCATTTTTGTTGATGAAATTCGAGTAAAATTATAGCAAAAGAGAATTTAAGTTTATATATATGGTTTGTTTAATAAAATTTATAAGTTTTCTTGGACACCGACTGCTAGGTGGAGCTCTCTCTCTCTCTCTCTCTCTCTCACTCTCCCCTTCTTCGTCCTCTCTCTGCTCAGAGTGGACAATGGCGATCCCGCGGAATGGTGGTAGAAGCGCCAATGGAGATATTCTTCGAAGCTTGCCTACAATCTGCTCCTTCAGAGCCCTCGTCTCCTCCATTTCGCTTGCATTTTCTCTCTTCCTCTCTTTCTCCTTCTTCTTCACTTCCACCACTCACTCTTCCGATCTCACACTCCCTGTAAGTTCTCCTGTTTCTCTCTTCCTTCTTTTTTAATTCTTCCGATCTTACCATCTCTGTGTTTTCTTCTGGTTTTGCTTTGTTTCTTGTCACTGGACTTCTCATTTGTGGAGTATTAGTTAAAAATCGGCGTTCTCCTTCTATTTTAATATGCATGTTTTGTGTTTGTGTTTGTGTTTGTGTTTGGATCTGGTTTCCGTAGATTCTCAGCCTCGCCTTAGATTGGAATTCTTCTTGAAATTGTCTCCTGAATGTACATTTTTCCAAAGTTTGCAATATCAGACGGTTGCTTTTCAGATATTGATATTCGTTGTGCTGTTTATTTTTCTCTGGCACTGAAGTAAATGTATGTTGTATGATTTTATGAAATTTAGGGTTACCATTCTGTTCCTTACATAATCAATTCGAGAACAAGGCTTCCGTTGGCTGTTAAATCAGACCCGCTAAAACCGCGGCTAGCCCAGATCAGGAAGCAAGCCGATGACCATCGGAATTTGCTGAACGCCTATGCCGCATATGCTCGAAGGCTGAAATTGGAGTACTCGAAGCTTGTTAGGGTATTCGCGGATCTTTCCCAGAATTATACGGATCTCAATAATAAACCCATCTACCGTAGTCTCTTTAAGCCTGAAACGGCTTCCATCAATGAGGCTTTGCTTCGTCAGTTTGAGAAAGAGGTAAAAGCGCGTATAAAAGTCACGAGACAAGTCATTGCCGAAGCCAAAGAATCATTTGACAATCAACTTAAGATCCAGAAATTGAAGGATACGATTTTTTCAGTGAATGAGCTATTGTCGAAAGCCAAGAAACAAGGTGCTTTCTCGAATTTAATTGCTGCAAAGTCTCTTCCAAAAAGCTTGCACTGCATTGCAATGAGGTTGATGGAAGAGAGAATTGCACATCCAGATAAATATTCAGATGTAGGAAAGCCAGTGCCACCAGAAATAGAGGATCCAGGACTTTACCATTATGCAATATTCTCAGACAATGTAGTTGCTGCATCGGTGGTCGTTAATTCAGCTGTTAAGAATGCTGAAGAACCATGGAAGCATGTGTTTCATGTTGTCACTGACAAGATGAATCTTGGGGCAATGCAAGTTATGTTCAAACTCAAGGATTATAGTGGAGCTCACATTGAAGTCAAGGCAGTGGAGGATTATAAGTTCTTGAATTCTTCCTATGTTCCAGTGCTTCGCCAGTTAGAGTCTGCAAATTTACAGAGGTTTTACTTTGAGAATAGTGTTGAAAATGCAACGAAGGATACAACAAACATGAAGTTCAGAAATCCCAAATACCTATCAATTCTGAACCATTTGCGGTTTTACTTACCTGAGATGTACCCAAAACTACACAGAATTCTGTTTTTGGATGATGACATAGTAGTCCAGAAGGACTTGACTGGCTTGTGGAAGATCGATATGGATGGAAAAGTAAATGGGGCGGTGGAGACATGTTTCGGTTCGTTCCATAGATATGCACAGTACATGAATTTTTCACATCCATTGATCAAGGCAAAGTTTGATCCCAAGGCATGTGCATGGGCTTATGGAATGAACTTCTTCGATTTGGATGCTTGGAGAAGGGAAAAATGTACAGAAGAGTATCACTACTGGCAGAATATGGTAAGACGAATTGTATTCTGAATGTTCATTGCCTTCCTAATAAGCTTTTAGACATTTATTTAAGGCGCGTTTCTTTTGACTCTATACTCTTGAAACTGCTTACGAGCGTTCCCCAATCAACCAGTTGAGCCAAAAGACGTTCTTGATTCCTTGCACTTGCTCTATCTCTAACATATAAGTTATTGTTGCATGCAGAATGAAAATCGGTCCTTGTGGAAATTGGGGACATTGCCTCCTGGTTTGATCACGTTCTACTCCACAACAAAGCCACTGGACAAGACATGGCATGTCCTTGGACTTGGTTACAAGCTCAGCATCAGCAAGGGCGAGATTGAAAATGCTGCAGTTGTGCACTTCAATGGGAACATGAAGCCATGGCTAGACATTGCAATCACACAATTTCGGCCATATTGGACCAAGTATGTGGATTATGATTTAGAGTTTTTCCAAGCCTGCAATCTTGGCCTTGAAATTGCCTGATGCCTGTTCATCCTTATAGTGGTGTTATAGGACGACAGATCTTGGCTGTGCTTGTCCCAAGGAAAGCATTGACCCTTATTAGCTCCTATAATGCCATCATTTTGATTCTCTTCTATGTGTTAAATAGGAATATTTTGAGTATTAAGTAATTATATTAATTTTTTTTGGAGGAAGAGTTAAGGATTGTGCATTTCAATTCTGAACATGAAATGAAAAACTGGCCGGCTGTGCATGTTCGTTTGAACCTTCCACCTTTTTCTTTGAATGCCCTTTGATTTGATTTTTTTTTTTTTTTTTTTCCTTTTAAAATTTGTTTTTGTTTCTCACATTCTTTTTACAGGAAAAGATTTAAATTTCTAGTCATGAAAAAAAAAAACTATTTTTCTTTCAGTTGTAAATTTGACTTTGACTTAGAAAAAACGGTTGCCAAATCCAGGGTGGAGCCAAAATGAGCAAAGTAAGCTGGACCGTTGCTTTTTTATTTAGCTTTTCCCGTTCTTTTTGTTCTTTTGGTTAATTTACAAACTCTTTGATAATATCAATTTTATTTTATTTTTTAAATATTTTTAATTTCTTCTCATTTATGCACTATTATTTGTTTTTATTTCAAGTGGGATGATTAGATATAGTTTTTTTTTTTTTCTTATTTATATACAAGTTATGAATTATTTTCTTTTCTTTTTTTTTACCAAAAAAAATGTTGAAATCATATTTTTCAATTGATTAGTTAAAAATAAATAATACTGTATATAACATTTTCTAATATCTCTTAATTTACACTTAAAACAGCATTTAGTAAATAAGCAAGCATTTTGTAGCTAAATTTTGATAGGCCTGTTAACTCTAATTTTGCATCTAATCCACAAGAATGGAAAGGCTAGTGAGATTTAAATGTTAGAGCAAGTAGAGGTAAGTCTAAACCCTATACATATATAAGCCAATTCACTTGGGGATGAACCAATAATTTATTTTCTAAACCCAAAAAATGGAATAAATTTTTGAAAAAATTTAACCCAATCTAAGAATTAGTCTAACCTGACCCAAAACCATAAGAATTGAGTCGAGTTGGACAAGTGTTTCAGATTGTTAGCACCACTCTACTTTAAAGTTTGAAACTCGTATAATAAAGCAATATATCCAGCAAAGAAATAAGAGGAGAGATTATCCCACTACACTCAACATGATATTCATATGCAGTTCACCTTTAAAAAGTTGGTACAATTTTAAAGGATTCAGGGTTTGGATGCAATTCAAAGCTCGTCCATAATATTGAACAATTCCAAAACAAAACAACTCACTCCAACTTTATTCTCATTCATTCATAACGGGCTTGTTCTCACTGGCTTTTGGTCTCTGTTCTTTTGGCTTCTGCTCTTCCGTTTTCCTACACCATTATTAAAAAAATGCTATAGATGGTTAGAGAACTTTGCAAAAGTAGTTTTGGGAACTGAAAAACATCTTACAACAAATTCCTTGAGAGTAAATTTGATAACTTGAATAAACGTTAAAGCATTCAAGAGTTCTTAAATTTTCGATTAAATTAACAACAGATGTCTCTTTCTATAAAAATATCAAGTGAAAAAAGTTTCTACATAGTCTTCCTCCAAAAAGTACGGACAAACATGTGACTTGGGCACAATGACATATCATTCCCTACAAATTTAGGATCCAGAAATGACGAGGACAAATCTATTAAATATAAATTCTGTAGAAAATATGATTATTCTATCCTCAAAATTTATTTTAGTTTATGATATTTCATATGAGGGTAAGACAATAAAAGTAACTGAATATGTAATACTTAAAAAAGGTTGAAGAAACAAGTCACCACTTCTATTCATGTAGCAATTTACACGAGAATATTTGAAACCAAACCCAACCCAACTCAACATTTTTCTAAATCATTTAACATCATAAAGAAAATGGAATTTGAAGCCAATAAAGCTTTATGATGCATATATCTTTTTATGTTCATCATAAAAAATATGCCGGCATATTCAAATTCAAA